CGGATGGAGTCGCAGGCTAAACTAATATTCTATAATTATTTATGTAATTGTGATTGCAGCCATCAGATGGACTAAAAAGTACAGAAAAGCAGGAAGCAGAAGAAAGAAAGAAGTTGGAGGAGTTAGAGAGGCAGAGGGAACAGAGAATGTTGCCAGAAGAAGAAATAAATGTGTCTAAATCTAATCCTGCTATTTTAAAACACAGGTAATTAATATTGGAATATCTTGTCTAAAAATAACATTTCGTTAATTAAGTCTGTAATAATGTTTTCTTAATATAATTAGTTAAATTTTGCAACATTGGTGAAAGTGGCGCCCCCGTTTTTATTTTACTAATAAATTTTAAAAAACACACACATTGTTATGTACAATATCAGCAATCACAGCATATTTTAAATCACTCTTTTTTTTAATAAGCCCCAAAGTTACGTCACTCTATAGGCTATATATTTGAACTTTATTTAATTTTGGGGGTGAATAAATTGGTAAAAATCAAACAAAAATTGGGACCCACCTACAAGCATTACCTTTTGGATAAAAAATGAATTATCAAAATCGGTCCAGTAGCGGCGGAGTTATACCGTAACACACATAAAAAAAAACGTACAGACGAATTGAGTATCTTCTTCTTTTGGGAAGTCGGTCAAAAAAATGGTAATGTGAGTAAGGGATAAAAACTTCAATCTATTAGCAGCAAAGATGCTTCTTTGATTGTCTTGTCTTTGAATGGTTCTTAGATTGTCATGGTTTTATAATTGTTTTCCAATGGCAAAGGTCTTCATTGTCATTTATGCATTTGAATTTTGATGTCTAAAATTGAAAATTACACAAATGTAAACAATGATATAAAGTATTTATCATGCGGATAAGCCGTACGGGAACTGCTAGGCTATACTATTACAAAGAGGAAATTGTATTTTTGTGTTTTGTATGTATTGAAATAACTGAAAACCTATTGGGCCCACTTTAAAATTTTGTTTATCATTAAAAAGCTAAGTTATCAAGTAACTTCTATATTTTACATTATTTTTTTAATTAATGGGGACGAAGTCGAGAGCAACAGCAACTTTTTAATAATTTTAGTATATAACCAGGTCAGCGGACGATTTGGACGATAACTTCGAACTGGAAGACGAAAAAGAATTCATGTTGGCTTACGATAAAGATGGGAAACCTTTGGTACCTGAAAATGTATTGAAAGATTTTACAGGTAAATATGAGATTTCTATTATTTTTATTGGAATTACATTTAACAAAAATGTTTTAGTTATTTATTTACTAAAAAGTATACTTATACATTAAAGCTAATTTAATCATAATAACTAATTTTAGTCTCTAGAGGTCTAATTTTAGTCCCTTTCCACTCTTTTCTTAAGTGGAAATGATGGGAAGGAAAAGTGGATTTGACGATTTGAGACGCATAGGAAGGGGAAATGACATTTTTATGTGCGTCTCCTCCGTCAATGAAGTGTAGGCAACGCATCTGCAATTGCGGATGATTATGTTTATGGGCAGCGGTCGCTTTTCATTTCGGTGGATTCAGGTGGCCTCTGCTGGTTTGCCACCTTATATTAGAAAAAGGAAATAGAAAATAATAACATGTTCAGAAACAATTTATTGAAGTTTATTTAATGTTAGAAGTAACTTATTGTTTGTTTTTACAGTTCCAAATGCAAAACCTAAATTCGATGATGGAATATCAGACACATCATCAGAAGGTGAAGATGAAGAAGGCAGTGAAAGTGACGATGATGATAATGGTAACGAAAATGAAGAAAATACAAAAGAAAATAGTATTGAAGGAAAGGATTTGAATGCTAAGAATATTGAATCTGAAGCATCTAGTGATGAAAATGATGAAGGTGATGATGATGAAAGCGATAATGACGAAGATAACAAATTAAATAAACCTAAAGTAAATGGTGTCAGTAATGACGTAGAATCTGAACATTCGGATGATGAATCTGGTAGTGATGATAATGATGATGATGTTAAAAATGATGAATTCGATGATTTAGGAGATTTAAAGGAATCAGAAGAGGAAACGGATGATGAAATTTTAGAAGAGAGTAGTCAAAAGATAGAATCGTTTTTCAATTTGAAATCTGAGGAAGGAACTAATCTAAAAGTAAGTCAATTGACTTCCCCTACAAGTAATTTCTGATAATTTTTCTGCTAATCTCGTTTTGATTTTCTCGAGCTTTCTGATTTTTACATAAAGTGACAATTATCTTTTTATTGATTTTTTTCTTTCCAGGAATTGCTAACAGGAAAATCTCCTTCACAACAATCAGCAGCATTACAAAAATTGATAAAAAGCTACGATCCCAGTTTATCTGAGAATAATAAAGAATTATTAAGTAGATTGTACGCACACATGTTGCAATACGTCAACGATATTTTCTCAAATCTCAACGATGAAGGAGAAATTATGAAATCATTTCTGATATTTAACAAATTGGTTCCACATTTTTACGACTTAGCTCACACCAACAAAGTCTCATCAAAGAAATTTATGTGCGATTTATTAAAAGAAAAACATGATAAATTCAAAAAGTATCCCAAAAAAGTACCCGATTTAGATACATTGATATTTTTCAAACTAATATCTCTTTTATACCCGACATCAGATTTCCGACATCCAGTTACGACACCATCTTTGATTTTTATGTCAGAAATTCTAGCTTCTTGCAGATTTAAAGATGCATATTCAGTTTCTAGAGGTTTTTTCGTTAATGCATTAATTTTAGAATACACAGTACTATCTAAAAGATTCGTCCCCGCTGGAGTTAATTTTCTACGCGGCGTTTTATATTTAAGCGCGAACACTTCAGTATTAAATCCAATCCAAGTGGTGCCGCCATTTCGTTTGCACAAAGATGTCAAAATTTTGAATTTAGAAGACGATTGTTCTAAAATTGCGTTCGAAAACAAAATGTCCACGAAGGATTTAATCAGAATTGAAATTGACAATGCGTTCAAGATTACTTGCTTATATAATTGTGTATTAATGTTGAAAGAATTTTTTGATAATTACAACGATTTGGAGGCACAGGAGGCTATTTTTGAAGCGCATATAAAATTATTGGGCAGATTGGATATAGATTTGTATCCGAAGAAAGTTAGAAGTACTGTATCCGAGGTGTTACAGCATATGAAAGAGAGTTTGGAAGTTAAAACTTTTACGCCGTTGGCGAGAGAGAAAGTTAGACCTAAAGCGTTAAGATTATATGAACCTGACATTCAAGAAGTGTAAGTTTTTTATAGGTTAATAGTGCCATTGGATTACTTTTTTCAAAGATGTCATTGTGTAGTCTTTTTATTTAATTTTTCTTGGTAACTAACATAACCTATATTGACATCGACAGATTCACCGGCAGTAAGAGTTCTAAGCTGTCACGTGAGAAGGCAGAGAAGGCAAGACTGCAGGGTAAATATAAGAAGGAGATGAAGGGAGCGCTGAGGGAGATAAGAAGAGACAAGGCGTATATCGCATCCGTTAAGATACGACAGAAGATTCACAGGTATATTTTTAATAAGGCAATATTTAAATGGAATCTTTTACAAGGTTATTCTTAGTGTTGGGTTTTATTGCGAAAATATCTATACAAAATATTTAGAGACTCAAAAGGTTATTTAAATCTATTCAAGGACTTATTTTTATGCATTTCGGCAATAAACATTCACAATTAAAAAAAAAAGAAATATCGCATTCATTTTGGAGTGGATTTGTGAATGGTGACTTGTTTTCAAATTCCAATAAAAAAATGTACTGTTTATACTTACCTTGTTTACATTTAAATTCTATTTTTTTTATTTCGAATCATTGTTGTTTTTAAACGTGACTTAAATTTTTTCTTCTATTCCAGTGACAATATTCGCAAGGAAAAGGTGAAACAGATTTACAAAGATGCTTCAATACAACAGGGAGAGTTGAACAAATTGAAACGAATGAAATGACATTGATTAAAACTTTATTCATTATGTAAATATAATGATATCACAAATAATGTTTTTTTAAAACCATAGAGCACCTTTACTTACAACATTAATGTTGCCAGTAGAAAAAAACACGATTTTTAAAAAAACAAATTCAACTGATTTCATTGCTTTATCATTCAACATTACTCTAAAAGTTTGAAAACTTAATTAAAATTGTCTCATTTACTGTGAATTGAAACAGAAAAAACATTAAAAACGATATTGGCACTTTAAACATTTTAAAACTTAACAATATTAAAAATACAACAGAGTATAAAAAAATATCTTTTGTCTTACATTTAATAAATGCTTTTGTGATTACAATAAAATACTTTGAATAAAATTCGATTAACTTCCACTACAATGTATGCAAGAAACATTTAAAATTTATTTTACAATTTTTAAGTAGAAATGAATCTGAATATTAACATACTATATTTACGGAGTTGAAATTATTTTTATTTAATGTCTAAATCTGCAGATGCTAATTTTAACTGTACAATTCAGTTAATAAAGAGTGTAAATAATAAAATAATTCAAACACATTGAAAATTTTATATGAACATTACAACATGCTTCCAAAAAGCTAAATAATTACTCTGCTTTAGGGTCATCCTTATTAAGTTCCCAAATGGAATGGTTCAAACATGTAGCAAATGCCAACCAACAAAGATATGGGGTCATAAAATATGCAGTGTTAGGATTGACCTTGAAGAAACTAACAGCACAAACCGCTGCCGCTATATCCAGAGTTAATATGTGAATTAATGACTGAAACAAAGATTATTACAATTAAAGAAAAATTATTAAAACCCAAGCTCCTAAAAAGATTTATTTTTAAGTTTCGAAAGCGGTAACACAAGTTTAAATATTATTTTAACAAAGAGAATGATTTCTCTGCAAAAACCATAAGCAATTTTCTTTTTCATATAGCCAAATTATTTTTCACATAACCAAAATAGCGAAATGACAACCTTAATCAACTGAGGAGCCACAGGAAAAGAATAATTCCCCTACCTATCTGTACCATCCCCTGTTGATTCCACTATATTTTTCAGTTGATGTATTTTAAGATTTAAAATAAAATAATATATTACCCAGCCAACTTTATGCAATCCAAAAAAGATAGGTGTCCATGTCCAATTCAAGACCAATTGACCTCCATACAATGCTAGTGGAAGTACAGCTTTTTCTGAAATCATATTTTTTAAATTTAATACCAACATAAAAACAAAAATCAGTTAATAGAGCCACACACAGATGTAATGCCTTGTTGAGTTAAACCATTTGATGCATTTTTAACATTCTGTGTATAAAAAAAATTACCGGTAAATCCGCCACAATCTTCATAAACCATATAAGATGCGTAACCCATTCCTGTATACAACGCCGTCCAAGCAGGTCCAAAAACCCAATTCGGTGGAGTCCAAGTAGGTTTTTTAATAGTTTCGTACCAGGCATCATTTTTCTGATTGGTTACCTGATTTACCATAGTAGTAGCGGCACCCGCCCATCCTCCAGCATTAGGAAATATTAAAGATCCTATTAGATTCCAATTAGGCATTTTCGTTTATTATATCTGGAAAGATATATAGATAATAAACCAAATTCAATTGTAAAAGCTCTTGTTCTTTTACGAATAAAAAGACGATAATGTTGCACAACAAAAACAAATCTTTAACACTACTGTCAGAAACATTTGTTTTAATTTAAGGTAATAAATAAAACACTAACGTTATCCACCTGAAAAGTAGAAGTTACGATAGAATAGAATATTTTAATCCTGTTTCTGTTTTTGATAATGTTATCTTATTTGTTTTTAATAGACGCGTGTAAATCAACTCTAAATAGTTTTGACAGATCAGCTCACATAGCATTAGAACCGTTGAGCTGCGGCTCAACAAGAGAATGAGCCTCAAATTGTATGATGATCTCAGCTCACGTAAATCATACCCATAGTAAGGTATAAATTGAACTGATTTACTGTTACCACGACAGTTTAAAGTTATACATATATGATTTATTGAGATCTACTGAGCCGGTGGATGTGAACTATGAGTTGATCTGCAGGTCATCTCTTTTAGTGGAGTACGTGTGGTTGAGTCACAAGACATAAGTGCTAAGTGCCAACCAAAACACAAAAGTAAAAGTAATGCAAAAACATATCGATATTCGATTCGATTCGACAAAACTAGTTAAGTTGAGTAAATAGGAAAGACTTCACATTACTAACTGATTACTATAGCACTCGCGATTTAGAAATTTGGCCATTTCGCTAGGTACGTTAGGTAGTTTAATTCCGCTAATCTACGATATTTTGTTTGTATGCGGCCGACGCAAAAACGTTTCTGCAGTCTTTTCTTTTTTAATGTTCAGTGGTGACCTGCTGAGTTAAACACAGCGCAAATCAAAACGATTGTTCACCATGACTTTTAAAATGGTTTACTAATAAAATGATAAAGAAATGTATTAAAAGATATCGGATATTGTTAAAATGTAACTCATGATGACCAGCAAGCAGGATTTCTACTTACTGTAAAATGATACGTTTAATAAATAAAGTATTTGTATTTTTAATATCTGAATTGTAAAATCAACTGTAATTTTTTTAATCTGTTCCAGTTTGTTCTTCCATGACTTTTGACTTTGACTCAATTTGTCATTCAAAGTTGATTTCATCTTATACTTAATATCAATATCAAGTACTTTATATCGTTATCACCGGTAGATTGTGTGAGCGCATAACTTTCTCCATTGTTATACTATGTAAGTATCATACGGTTTCTATCTTTTATGTGGAATTTCGTCATAACTTATTACTTCACCGGCAATCATTAAGTAAACAAATTATATATTTATAAAAATTGCGTAATTATTTACAATCACCGCTACTTTTAGATATAGCGTACACTTATTAATATTCCGCACGAACTCGCACTTACATCATCTGTGTTAAGTTTAAAGTGATTTTTGTCGGAATTGGGTATGTTTCTTAATTCAAGTAACTATTACTCAGCAGAAAATTCTTATCAAGGCTTTTTTATCGTTTAATTACTATTCCTGTTGCTAATCAAACGTTTTTTTCTGATAATTAGTATGCATTTTCATAAATTTTAGTCTAAAGTCTGAAGTAAATAAGTACTCACGTATTTTAGTCTTATTTGAATTGATAGTTAAATTTAAATCGATAAGTGACGTTGTTTTGTGTTTTTATTGTTTTTTAAATATAAACATGTCTCTAGAAAGTGTATTTGATAATGCTAGGTAAAGTACTGAAATGCGACAAAAAAACATTTCATGTTTCTTTTTAAATTTGGATAATAAGATCTCTAATTTTATATGTGTTAAGCATATGCACAATTCTGACAATTTTAACTGAACAGTTTGACTGAAGTCAAAAAAACTGTCAATTGTGCACCTGTAGTGGGCCTACCATTTACATTAAGAAAATTTCTGATGCATATTAAATTTGTACATTTCTTTACAGTGAAATAATTAATATGGCAAACTGGCCAGCTCTTGGTTCTATCATCCTGCCCAATGTTGGTGGTTGGGTTAATGGACTGTATTTTGCTGGACAAATACGTTCAGAAGAGGGCAAGTCTTGGTATGATAATTTGAAGAAGGCACCGTGGAACCCACCCAAGTGGGTGTTCGGGCCAGCCTGGACTGTTCTATACAGCAGTATGGGATATGCTTCTTATTTGGTGTGGGAAGAGTGTGGTGGTTTTAATGGTGAGAATTAATTCATTAATCTTCCAAGTTTAAGAATTAATTAATTTTGAAGCATCATCATCCACTTGCCCTTATCCCTTACGGAGGGTTGGCACAGTATGTGCTGCTCTTCCATACATCTGTCAGCCGTGATATCTGAATCCACTCCATTCTTAAGCATATCCTCTATCACACAATCCATCCATACTTTCTTCGGTTTTCCTCTACCTTTGTTGCCATCCACATTCAGTCTTAACACTTTCTGGTTTATGTCCCCATCATTTTGTCACATAACATGTCCATACCACGCTAACCTTTTGCTTCTCAATTTCTCCACCACTGGTGTTACTTTCAAACTTCCTCCAATTAATTCTGGAGCATTTCTATAAATTTTTATTGAAAACCTAGTTACATATAGTAAAATTGCAGTGTCTGTATGTAATAACAAAAGAAAAATTCCAGCTTTTGGGCAGATGATGTAATTACATTGTTGATAACAAAAATAGCATTTAAAAGAATTTTATCTGTCTGTCAATCTGTCCACAAGCTGCAATTGTTCCGGGTAAACTCTGAAATGACTGGGCCGACTTTGACGGGGCTATCACTGGAAGGTAACTGACATGGATAGGCATATTATAGGCTACTTTGTTTTTCTGCGCTGTCTGTTAAAGCAACATCTATAGACGCGTAAATAGCATAAATAAATGTTATTTCTATACAAATAAATAGGGTTTATAGAAAAATTAATCCTCATATATCCAATGTAGACAGATATGTATCATTTGTATTTTAGTATTTGATAAGATAATGTTCCCTATCCATCACTTGTTGATAATACAGTGTAGTTCCCTCACGTGATAAACCGCGTAATGAATTAGATGTATTACAATAGAGTAGTTTGTTTTATACTGTTTTTGTTATGATTGATGTAATAGTTTGCCGAATTTGTATTCTTACCAATATAAATGCAAAAGTTTTGATGGATAAATGTTTGTTAGAGTTTGTAGCCTAAACTGCTGAACGGATCTTGATGAAATTTGTCATAGACGTAGAGGATAGTCTGAAAGAACATATAGGCTACATACTTTTTTATTTTTTTAATTCCTTGCGGTTGTCGTCTCGGGCTAGTGATATCCATCTGGATGGATGTTTGTTAGGAGGTATCTTCGAAACGGCTTAACGGATTTCGATTAGGCATAGATTAAATTAAATCATTACTTTAAAAACTTAACCTTTTGGGAGATGAACATTTGATAATGTTTTATTGCAGAATCTTCAGTAGTTCCTCTCTCCCTCTACGGAGGTCAGTTGGCTCTCAACTGGGCATGGACTCCCATATTCTTTGGCATGAAGGACTATAAACTGGTAAGTTTTTTTTTATTTTCAATTAATGGGTATTTTCATAATTCCTTGTGTTATTTTCATAATTCTTTTTTGCTATGTTTTTTTTTATTCTTGTAATTGACAATTCCCGGGTTCGAATCCCGATTTTCTTTCATATTTACATTTACCTGATGCATGGGCACATCTGAAAAGATATATGGTTTGTGATTTTTTTTTATTTGTGATTTTTTGGTTTTTTATTATTTTTACTTTATTATATATGTTCACGTTTAATTTCTTAAAGTGTCTTATATACTAAAAATATTAAAATTAGTTTCATTTTAGTAATATAATTTTCCAAAATATTTGATTGTTTTTTGAAAAAAAAAAAAACTTTTTATGAAAATATTAGACGATTTTTGTTAATTTACTAATATTTCCTTTAACCATTCCAACTAAGCTTGTGCTAGGATATGGTTCAAAATAGTCGATTGGCGGGATTCGAACCCTCGACCACGTAAACCATTAGGCTATTGGCGCTTTTGAGTCGATGATGGTACAAACAGATAAATACTGTTTCTCAGGCTTTTATTGAAATAGTAGTGCTGGGTGCGGCAGCTACCGCTACCACGATATCTTTCGTGCACTACAATAAGACAGCCGCGGCTCTAATGCTGCCTTACCTCGGCTGGTTGGCCTACGCCAGCTCACTATCCTACTACGTTTGGAAGAACAACCCCAAAGCAGACCCCAGGGTCACCGAGATCAAGGATGAGAAGACCCAGTGAAGGTACTTTGTAATGTAATTCGTACAGGAAACACATGTTGAGAGATAGAACTTGGCAAGAATATTCATTGTAATATAGTAGAACCTCGATAATTCAAACCTCTATAACTTCAAAAAATAATATGTTCCCATCCCATCAGAGCCCAAAACCTCTACAACATAGACCCTTGATAACTTAAAACCTCTATAACTTAAAATATTTTGTGTTTCCCTTGAACTTTAACTTACCGAGGTTCTACTGTATTAGCTTTTAGCTGTTGCACGCGATTTCGATCCCGTGGTATTAAAAAAAGTGTAAAAATATAGCCTATGTTACTCAATGTTAACTTAGCTTTTTATTGGTGAAAGAATTTTCAAAATCGGACCAGTAGTTTTTCAGTTATTTCAATACATACAAAATTACAAAAAATCATATCTTTCCACTTTATAATATTGGTATATAGATAAGCTATTTTCGTAAAAAAATTTTTTGATTTTTTTCTATGTATTAAAATAACTCAAAAACTACTCATCCGATTCCAAAAATTATTTCACCATCAAAAGCTATGTTACCTCTGACTAACATAGACTTCACCTTTTTATTATTTTTTTAATTTCCGACGGATGAAGTCGCGAGCAACAGCTAGTATATTATAAAAATATTTAATTCTCTAACAAGAATATATACGACATACTGAATTTTTTCTGACGTTGGAAATTTCAAGATTTTTTGAATAAGTAATTTTTTTAATAAATATTTTTTTTGTTACAGAAACTGGCCATCTTTAAAAAATTCGAACAAAATCATTTAACCTAAAAGTCTGTACTTTGTAGTTAAGCATTTCCTATTTAACTTTTTATTGTAGGAAATATCACAATTATCTTGTAGTTATTTTTCTTTTCGTATTTAATACGAATAATTTACTTAAATAATTAAGTACATTTTCTAAAAATGTCTATACCATAAACAATTGTCTAGTTTTTTGCCTAAGATCATGATTTTGTATCAATTTATAAAAGTTTTGACTTTTTTAAATTAATATTACTTAATAATATAGAAAAGCATAAAAAGCAGTACATTTTTCGCTTATTGTTTTTTGCGATTTTTTTTTCAAACTTTTTTTTTATCTACAAAAAGGTAGCTTTTTATTTGTCAATTAAAAATATAATTTAAGTAAAACCCAGTACTGCAATATTCAAATATTTGTGTAACTGTTTCTTATCTGTGTACTTTTTTAGTCTGCGAAGTGGATTTTTTTTAGAATAAGCATTCCTTGTTACGCATTTAATTTTGGATGAGGTTTTCTTTGACTGTTTGCGTTTTTGATTGATTTTTTCTTCTCTTGTTAATTCAATAAATAATTTAAAGCATATTGTGTTATTATTTTATGCACCAAAAAATTAAGAATCAAATATTTTATCACGGCATGGAAAAAAAACTAAAGAATTAACAACTGACAATTTCGAGGAAAAGGCACGTGATAAAAAAATAATAATAAAAAAAAAACAACTTTTAAATGCGTACTTTTTTATTAAACCTAAAGAAACAGAAGGGCAGAACTTATAACTTTCTGTTATTGCTTTAAAACAGTTGTATAAAAACCTTTACTTGAAAAGGTTGATTTTATAAAAAAAATGCTTAATAATAGATATACATTTATTTGGAACTAGCTTTCGCCCACGACTTAGTCCGCGTGGAATTAAAAAAGGTAAGTAATCTGTATGCTTTCCTAGTATATACTCAGCTATGTCAAATTTAATCGAGAGCCGGTTTAGCCCTTTTAGGCTACAAACTTTAACATCCATACATCTAAACTTTCGCATTTATAAAACACTAGCTTTCGCCCGCGACTCCGTTCGCGCGGAATTAAAAAAAAAACAAAACGATGTAGCCTATGTGTTCTTCCAGACTATTCTCTGTATCTATACCAAATTTCATCGAAATCCGTTCAGCCGTTTAGGCTACAAACTCTAACAAACATCCATTCATAAACTTTCGCATTTATAATATTGGTATGAAGTATGTGTTTTTGTATTCATTCATTCCTGTTTTTTTCAGAGAGAATGTTCTGTTATGTCAGTATTATGTACATAGAAGCACGTAATAGGCCTAATGAAGTTGCATAACAACGCATCTCATTACTAACGACATTGTCTTTAATTAAGCTTGTACATCGAATCAATAGCTTTCGAAGCTCCGAAACCATTGTCTCTAGATAACAGTCGAGGACGAATTTCCTAACCATTTTGGTAATCATTCGACAATGCAATTGGGTCGGAAATAAATATAACATTTAAGAAATTAGTAAGATTAACTAATATTAAAAATGCAAAGGTTTAGATGGATGGAGGTTTGTTAGAGTTTGTAGCCTAAACTGCTAAATCTTAATGAAATTAGGCATAGATGTAGAGGGTAGTCTGCAAGAACACAGTCAACTTGCTTATGTTTTTTTAATTCCACACAAGAGTCGCGGGCGAACGTTAGTTGATTCATAGAAAAACCGAATACCGTTATATTTGTGACGTCACAAGTCTCGGCGGCCATTAGCCACGGTAATTGTCAACTCAAGTCGCAGCTCAGTCTTGCTAATTTATTTGATCAGGCGCTCGGCGGCACTAATTGTCACCTACAAACTTTCTCCAGCGACAATTAACAGCAATTGTAATTAATAAACTGCATTGCGGAATGTTCCAGACAGCGATTATCCTAAAGTGGTAATTTCTGAGTATCTTGTAATCTAAGTGGAAGAAATTAATTTGAAATTTGCATCATTTAATGAGGAAAAAATTGTTTCATAATAGATTTCTAAGTTTCATTAGTCCTTAGTTCTATGCAAGAATTCCCTCCTTGCTGTATAAAGACTGACATTTCTGATGAATGAAAATGCGCCCTTTATTACATCACTACGTAGTATAAAACAAAGTCACTTCCCGCTGTCTGTCTGTCCCTCAGTATGCGTAGATCTTTGCATAGAATTTTGAGACAGTTTTTTTGTGGTTAGAGTGATTAATAATTTATTGTAATGAAATAACTCAAAAACTACTGAGCAGATTTCGAAAATTATTTCACCATTAAAAGCTACGTTAGTAAAGTGTGTAACATAGGCTACATTTTAAATTGTTTTTTAATTTCTCGCGGAAGAAGTCGCGGGGGAAAGCTAGTGAATATAGTACAGAAAATTGATGATTTTACAGAATTCTTATGTGATTTGTTAGTAAACAAATTTTGGTATCAGCAAAGGACCTGTGAATAGGATCGCTAGTATCTTTTAAAATAAATTTTTAGGAGGTTTTTTTTTTTTGTAGATGTATTATGTTATTTTCACGTTATAGTTCTACAAAAAGTTCGTGTTTCCGTTGCAATGTCATTCGATAGTATTAAAACTGTCCACCCCGTCGCGCATTCCCTCCACATTACCGGCTTCGCTCCGTCTCACAAGTTTAAATTAAAATCGAAGTCGGAGATAGCTTCCTCGGATAGAATTTACTTTACTACCAAACTATTTACAGTCGTATAACTTTGCTTTGTTGTATATTTTACATTTTATTAACTAGCTTTCGTTCGCGATTTTTCCGCGTGGTATTAAAAACAAAAGTATGTGTTCTTCCAGACTGTCCTTTACATCTGTCAAATTTAATAATTCCGTTCAGCAGTTTAGGCTACAAATTCTGACAACCATTCATCCAAACTTTCGCATTTGTAATATTAATAAGATTCTGTAAGTATACTTTTTGTTTATAAACTTTGTCTTGATTTGAAATGACGCATCGAACTTTTTAACAAATTATACTCGTAGCCTTCCTTATTGTTTATTCTAGTATGAATACTCTGAGCTGAAGCTCGCTTTCAGTGCGCATTATTGCGTTCAATTTTATTTCCAAAATATTTTATTACTCTATATTTCAGACTAGAAATCAACTGTTTACTGTTTTTTTTATTCGAGAGCTAACATCATACTCATACTAACATAATAAATGCGAAAGAATAGATGGATGGATGTTTGTTAGAGTTTGTAGCGTAAACAGCTGAAAGAATTTAGATGAAATTTGGTATAGCTGTGGAGTAAGAACACATAGGATACTCACTTTTACTTTTTTAATTCCACGCGGAGTCGCGGGTGAATGCTAGTCCTTCATAATTAACGTACAAAGTAGAGAATAGAAAAAGTCATACTTAACAAGTATAAGTAGAAACTTTTTAAAAAGCCACACGAAGGCTGCAGACGTGCCAACCGGAACTCCGGTGAACGGAAGCTAGTGCAACTTCCGGAGTCTTTTTTCTGTTTGCTCATCCGTTAGCGAGGTGTGGGAGCCAACTTAAGATATCTAACTTGGAACTAAGTTCGGTCTAAGTTGCTCTACAGAATACTATGCGGTTTTTCTTAACTTACATTATTCGTGTATATTTTTATAGAATTTTGCAGATGACTTGTGTTTCGGATTAAAATTTTCGCTTATGAATCAAATTTCCTTTTCATAAAAATATTTACGTATAGTCAAATGTAAATATATTTTAGTATCTACAGAAACTTAATTTGTTTTTTCAAAAGGCATTATCAGAGATTTTATGGTGTAAATAAATCTCTACAAACACCTCATAAATAGTTAATAAATATTTTACAACGCCTGAAAGTAGCTTAACGATTACTGAAACGACATTAAAATATGTAAAAGCGTCTTAAATAAAGAAATGCTTAAGGCCTGTCCCACCAAATTATATCGGATTTGGTTACCTTATCTGACAGTGACGTCGACGTGAATTTTTATGTGTTACGGGCGGCTATCTGAGCCTGTATCAGTCAGTGGTGGGACAGGCACTTAAACTCTAAATTCCTTTAAAATTTTGACGATTATAAAACTGTAAACTTCGATTCAGTATTAGACTGTATTATCTTTAACTTAAGAGCGTCGGTGGCTCAGTGGTTTGAACACTTGACTTGTAATCTACAGGTCTTGGGATCGAATCCCGCCATGTACCAATGTGATTTTCGAATTTTCATATGTACATAATTTTACCCGACGTTCTTACGGTGAAGGAAAACATCGTGATGCCTGCACATATCGGCGAAGAAATTCAAAGATATATGTGAAGTCAACCAACCCGCACTTGGCCAGCGTGGTTGACTATGGCCTAGTCACCCTAACTTTAGGGTAGGCTCCGAGCCCCTCAGTGGGGACGTATAGTGAGCTGGTGATGATGATGATCTTTAACTTACATTGCATATTGTAATACCTCGTAAACAGCTACCTGTGGTGTATATGTGGGTATGCCAATAATAATGTACCGTCAGTAGTGATAATAATAAATCAGTCCAGTACCAACCGCCGTTTCATTAACACCCCTACATTACATTGGCGACGAGGATTGTTTTTAAATAGTGAACCCGCAAAATTTTTCGCGAGGAGGACGTCCTAACATCGTTTTGTGCGCTGTGGTTGTGCGACTTGTGTGCATACAACGTCCGGAATACCAGGGGTGTGTCAACGTAACCATGAACGAAGAGATGGACATGGGCGACCGCAAAAAGGGCGGCGGTAACAGCGGCGGT